CCCGCCCCTGGGGCGGGCAGTGGGCGGGGCCCACTAAATCCCCGCCCAGCCCCCGCTCCTAACCGACGCCCGCTGCACCTGCCCTTCCTAAGTGTTCTTGCTTCCAGACCTCCCCAGGCTCTTTCACACTTTGTTCCCAAGTTTTTTGCGTCGCCCCCTCTCACTAAGTCCTCCTGCGTAGTTTTACACCTGATATCCTCAAATCCTCGTCCCAAACTTCACGCTAATTCCTCTCTTCCCTTGACCCCCAAATCCTGTATCTCTCTTTTCCCATCCATTCTCATTCCTCCCCTGTGATCCGACCCCGCGTGTCCCAAGCAGACAGCAAGGCTGCTCAGAGCCGTCCACTCAGTAGGGTCCAGCCTGGAAGCCTGCCAGAGGCGTGGGGGAAGGCTGTTCTCCCCAACTGGGGGGGAATCCTGTGGGACAGCATTTTACCACCACCACCCCAAGCAAAGCATACAAGCACTCAGTCTGAATGTCAACTGAATGTCAGCGTAATGATTGAGGCAAGAATGATATGGGAAAAATAATTCCCAAAGTTTTAGATGTGAGATATACTGAGGTAGTGGCCTCACAATATTGAGGAATGAAGTCTCAGTTAAGAGAGTTTTATTGGAAATAAGAATAGCTCCTGGATTTCCAGGAGGATTCCAGTGTGGGTTGCCACCTGGCTTCTCAATCCAGAGCTACTTATAGGTAAGCAGAGCTCAGGAAGTGAATTGCTCAATTGTTTAGTGGCCACATGTGACGGGTGACTCGATTTAAAATGATCAATTGGAACTTAGGCTCTCTAATCCAATTCTTCCACTTGTAGGATTTAAAGAAAATGGATTGGCGGGGAACTGGTTAGTTTCCATTTTAAATTCCTACGAACTCAGGAGCTCAGTCGGGAGTGGCTATACCTCCCATTAGTAGGAAGCGGGCTTCAGTCCATGGCCTAAGGGAGTTTTCAATGCCTTTGAATTCCTCAAAACTCAAGAGCTTAGTAAGAGTACCTGGAACTTTCTTTAGTACAGAGTGGGTCGCATGTCATATTGCCTGAGGAAGTTCATTGTCTGAAGTGGGTTCGTTGCCTACTCTTAATTTTCATCAATACAGCTGGTCACGCCAGCTCTCTCAGGCTCCTCCACAAGCTAGCTGCCTTACAAGCACGGACAAAATGACAGCATCGCTTGCCTTGCTTGCTCCCTCTTTATCTCAGACGAGGGCCCGGTCTACCTATCCAATGGCCTATACTTCATTTGAGGCATTCCGATGCCTCAGCCGATTTGAAATATTTGTTGCATAGCCTTTCTCAGTCCTCCCATGACCGTCTATACGGAATCCCAGATGTTTGAAAAGAACCTCCCATAGTCAATGATCAACAAGTGGGCAGCTCCCCTCCTGCGTCCCCTTCTTGATGGGAGTGGGGGTCCACACTGGCATGGCAACAGAAAGACCCCATCTGTCGCTGCCCTCATCAGATCCAGGTTTAGCCCCAATCTTCACGCCTTTGCCTGAAGCAGCTCCAGAAGAGACCTTCACCCAACAGTCATAAAACAAAAGCCTGGACTGTTAGATTTCCCTCGCCTTAAGATGGCCGCTACATAAAATAGCCTTCTCCTTCCCATAATGCCCTGATTCTCACTTAAAATATGGCTTCTACCAAAGGACAGTCTTCCCAACATGCCCCTCTTCCTTCCAAAAGAGTAACCTAACACTTGCTACCGCCTAACAACTAGTGATGTCACAAGCCCCTCCTAGTGATGTCAGAAGCTCCCCCAATCCCATCACTAAAAGCCCCACCCCAGTAATATAAGAAGCACTCTGGCTTGGCGGTATTGCTTTCTCTCCTTTGTTCTGAGACAGCATGGCACATCCTCCCCATGATAAAGGCTTGTTAAGGTCCTGGTCTGGTCCTGGTTTTCAGCTCTTTTTACCTAACACTCATAAGCTAGCTAAATTCACTATTTTCTGCACGAAGATAGCTATTTATCAGCTTTGCCAAAGTGATATTAAAAAAATGGGTGAGAAGCGTAACAAATCATGAGCCAACACATCACTATTTTTATTTCTTTTCTATCACTTTTCTAGGGGCAGTGTGGTGTAGGGGCATTGGGGAGGCCACACAAACCTGGATTTCACACACCTATCATTTATTTTACATAGTGAGACTGGAGAGTTGTTTCTCATCTCTAAAAACCTCCACCTCTTCCCGAGGATTAAAGTTGTTCTCTATACAGTGTCTGGCTAGATACCCAATAGCTACTTATTTCTCAAGCTTATAACAGTCACTAAGTTTTCCAGTTTTCTCCACATCTTGGAAAAAGTTTCTCCCAACTATGTGGAAAGTGAAAATGATCTCCCCACACCCCCAGTAATCTACTGTCTCAATTCACATCCAATTAGTACATTCTATTTATGATTTTAATATTTATAAACCCTATCTCTGCCTAGCAAAGCAAAGCAAAGCAAACCAATTAAAAATAAATTGTTTATGCATACATGTGAGAGTGTTTACTGAATTGAATTCAGGTTAGTTCTCTCTTTGTCTTTCCAAACTGTAAACTCTCAGTCTTATTCATCCTTGTAACCTCAAGGGATAGTATTGACATAGGAAATCCGGACATGGCAAAACTGACTGGGGAAGCAGGCATGACCTGTTAATTAAAAGATCCCAGAACGTAAGGGCAGAACAGTTCCCAAAGGCCTGCACATGGACCTCTTTCAAGAACTCGAGCAGGTTTTCAGTAGGAGGGCATAGACCTGATGTCAGCCTGAGGTGTGGGATCCCAGCACTGCCTCTCAGGGCCTGTATGTAGAAATTCTAATGGGTTTCCTCAAGATTTGGAAAGCATAAAAGGATGCAGACTCCAAGACGAGCTGGCTATTATGGCTTTCCTTGCAATAGCTTGCTCTGTTTCCTCCAGGCTGTACTTTATCTTGCCTTTTCCTTTTTTACTTGACCCAAGCTTGCTCTGCAGAGCCAGTTTATTCCTCACTCTTCACTTTTACTTTGTCAAACAAACTTTGCCACTGCTTTTTGCTCATTTTGTTCAATTCTTTGTTGGAGATAAGAAGAACCTGGAATTTAACTGCAGGCGAGGCGAGCAACCCAGAAACTTATAACATTTAGTATTTGGCAAGCCACTTTTAGAAAGAGTTACGCGGTAGCAGTATGACATTCAATGGATCCCAAGTTTAAGTTCAGGGTGACTGAAGATAAAACAGTCACTTCTGTTTTCAAGGAAACTGCATGTATATGCAGGTAAGTACTTAGAAAGGTATTTGAGCCTAATTTTTTCTTGTCTTTTTTTTCTCTCTGGGATGGACTACTTGTTCTAAATCCAAAAAGTGGTAGGGATTTTGAGGATGCTACAATTGCTTCCCCAATCCCATTGCACTTGGGCTTGCTTGGCTCTAAGTTATGACTTAATGCAGGAGTCCAAAAGCATGAAATCACCCCACTGTCAGGGTCAGGGCAAAGGTGAGGTGAGAGAACCACTTGCCTGGGCCACAAAATTTAAGAAGGGTGCCAAAAAACGTCTTAGACATTGGGGCTCTGAATATAGCCCAGTGGTACAATACACACCTAGCATTTATAAGGCCCTGAGTCCAGCATCATAAAACAAGAGGAAACAAAGCTCTGTAATCAAGAGAAATTTAGTGCAATAATTTTAGAAATAAAAAATAAGCTCAAAATTCCACAAAGAATGAACTACCAAAAATCTAAAATAAAAACAAGATCCCAGAGTACTATCAGTACCATACTGATGTCTTGAGCAAAAGGAAAAAAAGTGTACCCCAAATACATATTTTCATTCATGTTTATGTGGGTAATCCCCCACCCAAAGGCCAAAAGGGTTGCCCAGGTGGAGGTCTTGCTTCTCTATGTGCCTGAACTCAGTGAGCCTCAGCTTCTCTTGCACAAGCTGCCAGCCTCCTCCACCTCCCACTTTGGGGATGGCCCCTACTGCCCGGAAGGTGGTCTCAATCACAGCTGAATTTTCTCCCCACCATGGTGTAAGACAGGTGGAAGAAGTTGAGGGGAAAATCCAGGTGGGTGGGACCTGGGAGAGCCCCTTCCTTTCCTAAGCAGTGGCTTCCTACTGCACCCTACCCCCAATAACGACTGGACGAAAGGGTGGAAGAGAGAGCCCAGGATTCAGTTAGTTGACTCTTTTGCCCGTGGTGGTGAATTTATGGCACATGTGCCACAGAAGGTTGTTTGTCTCACTGAAAGCTCCAAAAGGTTAGCCATCACTGCGAGTCTACACTAACAGGTAGACTCGGGGTTCCAGTGCCTGTGGACCTGGGTCAAAAAACTCTCCCTTCGAGTTTGGGAATTGTTTAGGAAGCTGATCTCTAAAGGATAAGGAAGAATGTCACTAAAATAGTATTGGCTTGGCATTGTAATTAGTGTGGATGGGCAGAAAGCACAAGCTTCTGAAAGAAAAGTACATATGTGGAATTTATTTATTTAGTGCTAGGGACATTTAATGCCAGGGCCTTCACAATGAGCTATTTCCCCAGTCCTTTTAAGTTTTTTGTTTTTTTTCCCCTTTTTTGAAATAGCAGCTCACTAAGTCACCAAGTCTCCCAGGTTGAGCTCAAAGGTGCAGTTCTCCTGCCTCAGCCTCCCAGAATGCTGGGATTACATGTGTCTGCTGCCATACCTGACTTGGACTTATTTTTAAATTTCTCCTTTTCCCAGAAGTAGAATAGACAGTGCTTGAGGACATTGCATGATCCTTTTAGGATCTCAGCTTCACCTTGTCTATGATGAATAGCGGATAACACCCTACTTCTTGGCATTGTATCTTCACTGGCTTTGAGGTTTCCCCAGGCCACTCAGGTAAATCTTTCAGGCATTATTTATATATTACAACATGAAAGCTCCTGGTCTCTGGTCTGTGAGGGACAAAGATGAAACAGTACTGGGCTGCTCTTAAGGAGAGAGGCATACTCCCTAGAGGTTCACCTGGGGAAAGACAATTCCAAATGACCCTGAAGATTTATTTTCTCCCTCATTTTCCTGGCTTAGGAATTGGCAACTTCACCAGATTTGATTTAGTCTGGAGGCAGGACAGACAGGCACCAGAGGCCAAACCATAGAGATGTCTAATGATGGCCTAGATATGCCTTTCTCCCTGTATGATTAGGGGCCTGCTGTCCTGAGCTCTTTCTGGGATGTGTCCTATCTTACGCTGCCCAGACATGGGGCACCTCTTGGTGGGACCAAAATGCTGGGAGCTAGAATGGGCAGGAGGGTTGTCTGTACTCTCCTCTTTCTCTGCTTATAACATCCGATCCCCAATCTGTATATACCATGCGGCATTGAAAGTGTATGCCCTTGACTTTGAACTGTCACCATGTTGGGAACAATTCTACATAATTTGGGGGGAAAATCATTTCACAATTAAATCATAATTAGACCTAGTTTTCCTGCCTAAAAAGGTGTGCTATGGCATGTCCAGACATAATTCCATTTTCACCTCCAGTCACAGCTAAAATCTCAATGGTCCCATGATGTTGTGATGCTCCAGGGCAGGATTACATCAACTGAAGACATCCTGGGGAGGGACAAATTCCTAATCAACATAAATTCTTTGTAACCTAGGATCTTTTTTTTTTTTTTCTTTCCCAATTTTTTTTTTCTTTTTTTTTGGGGGGGGGGGGTTTGAGACAGGGTCTCACTATGTAGTTGAGACTGACCTGGAACTCACTATGTAGCCCAGGCTAGTCTCAAACTCACAGTGATCCTCCTGCCTCAGCCTCCCGAGTTCTGGGATTACAGGCGTGCGCCACCATGCCCAGCTCCTGGGTTCTTCATCTAATAAATTCCTCATTGTGCTAAGATTATGGCAGCTGCAGCCCTCTGAGTCATCTGTTATTCCCAAAGTACCGAATAAAGGTATGGCAAGGCAAGCTCAAGGTCTTTCTTCTTTGCTGCCCTGAGCAGCATTGATCAAGCCCAAAGCTCAGCTTCTCTTAAGTCTTGTTTCCTGTCTTTATTAATTAATTCACCCTGTGCTGTCATGGCTCACAGGTGACTAGGACTCACTGCAGAGGTTTTAGTAAAGTCCCCTTTCCCTGTTTCCTACACCACTACATGATGCTTACATTGACTCAGTACTAAGTGTTTTGGGGGCCATACTAGTTGTGAAGAGGCAGCCTGTGCATCTGGCAGCCCAGGAGACGAGGGGAAAGGAGAATCTCAGTGAGACACTAACTCCCCCAAACAACTGTGCCCCCCACAAACCCTAGACCAAAAAGCTGATGATGGTTAGTAGAAGACCCACCTCTGCAGAGCTCAGGAAAACCAAGGCTTATGCAGAGAGAAGGATACAACTATGAAATGAGTGAAGATTAGGGGTGGCACTGTTGCCCAGAAAGGCAGCCAGGTGGACAGGGTAATGAAAAAATCTGGAAAGGATTTAGCTGTTCCCATGGAGCAAATCCACAGCCAACCCAAGGCTAAATGAAAAGCATGGAAGAGACACAAGAGATTTACGGGCACAGTTCTAGCCACTATTCCAACTGGATTCTGGGACATGTTTACTTGCCCTTCCCTTAGATAGAGGCTTTAAAATTTTCTGAATTTACAAAACAAATGTAGGTTATTTTGTTTTCATCTGCACCATGCCTTATTTTCTTGCACCCATGGAGGGTGTGGGATAAGGGTTATTTTCTTGCACCCATGAAGTGTGTGGGATAAAGGGACCTGCCGGCTGGACACATTTGAACTGCTCCTTGGTAGTGGCTCGGGTGGACTGAAGGCGTGGCCCCAAGCCTGTCAAGATCGCGTCATTGCTCTTTCCGCCATCTTTCCGTGCCGCCATAATGGTACGCATGAGAGCATCAGCAATGCTGAAAAAAGAGGCAAACGCCAGGTTTTTATTAGGCCGTGCTCTAAAGTCATCGTGCTGCTTCTAACTGTGATGATGAAGCATGGTTACACTGGCAAATTTGAAGTCATTGATGATCACAGGGCTGGAAAAACTGTTGTGAACCTCACAGGCGGGTTAAACAAATGTGGAGTGATCAGCCCCAGGTTTGACGTGTAACTGAAAGATCTGGAAAAATGGCAGAATAATCTACTTCCATCCCGTCAGTTTGGTTTCATTGTATTGACAACCTCAGCTGGCATCATGGATTACGAAGAAGCAAGATGAAAACAACACACAGGAGGGAAAATTCTGGGGTTCTTTTACTAGGGATGTAAACCATACAAATAAAATGCCTCAATGGACCAAAAAAAAAAAGATCGCATCATTGAAACAACATCTTCTACCAGGCCAGGGAAAATGTACTATTCTCCTGCGTTGTAGTACTGGTCAGGGTGTCAAACACCACCACCATCGCTCAGTTCAATACAGATTTTCTTCACTTAACTATCTGTTTCATGACAGTTCAGACTTAAGACCTGTCACTTGGACTTACTGTGACAAATGGCAAAGCAACTGAGCAAGCTAGAGGAAAGCAAAGAAGTACAGACTTTGTTCACCAGTGTGGAGGTGACTGAGAGCAAGAGGCCCATCAGTGAGGAACAAACAAAAGGCAGAGGGTTTTTTAGAGGGGATTGTGAGGGAGAGAGGTCTGTCACGTCTGTGACATACAGGGGTCAGTGCAAAAATGTGTGATCGGTTCCATGCAGTGGACAAGGCAGGGAAGATGTTGTGCTGTACCGTACATTGTGCTGTACTTTGTGATCTTTCCTGTAACAACCTGTCCTGTGTTCTGTCTGCTCTAAGACAGCACAGACTGCATCTGGCCTGGGGGCTGATATGTCTTGCTGGGGGGTAGTTTTTGTATCCATTAAACTAGCTTAGAATTAAGCAGCAATTCATTAACCATTTCATAAGCAGATCAAGCCTGATATTTATAACTTTATTTATTTATTTTTTTTTTGGTACTGGGGATCGAACTCAGGTCCTTGCACTTGTGAGGCAGGCGGCACAAACACTGAGCTAGATCCGAGCCCTATGACTTTTTTTGTACAGTTCTATATATCTTGTTTATAGAACCTCAATGTCTTTTTTGTATAGTGTACTTTACACAATCCTATAATTTTTTGCTGATTGTATTATACAGTTTCATACTACAGTTTTTTATTCTGTTATACACTACAGTACTGCATATAAGAGTTATTCAAGTAAAAGCAAAGTCAGCAAGCTGGAGTTACCTATGACCATTTATCTTCCTGAATATTGTAATGTATATATCATATGCAATTCCTCATTTAGCACCCAATTCATATGCAACGCTCTAGTTGCAGGTACATGACTCAGTCATTAAACAAGGACTGTCTGTAGTCCTATAGGGGTGAGGAACCCACTAACATCTGAAATCTTACTGTGACCATTGAAGTTGAAACAGGTAAGCAGCCACTGTTGATCTTGTGGTTGATAGTGTGAGAGTGGCTGAATTATAAACTGCAAACGTGCCATCAATGACCCTTGGTATGCGGGCTTGGATGAGCTAGTGCTTTCCTTTGTTTTGTTTTTTAATATTCTCCAGGAAAAAAGAGAAAAATCAATCTCTGACTTTCTCTACTTTGCTGTGTGTCCCGAAGGCTGATTCCTACAAACCTCTTCACCTGGGCTCCCTCGTTATCTGACTTCTGGTTGGGCTCATTCAGAGGAAAGCATTGGTTGGAGATTGAGGAAAAGGAGAGAAAGAAATCTTTAGAGCATTTACTCTCTAAATATGAGGGCTTTGGTGCTATGTTCCTCTGTGCAGAGAGCTCCTCTCAGTGCCTCTGTCCTATCTTCAGCTCATCTGCCTCAGATAACCTTGTTCCCTCCCTCTGTCCTTTCAGGGATGGTACCAGCTCCCCTCTGGTGCTAACCCTTGGGTGCTTCAACATCTCTTAGTGTTTCCTTAGTTTGGGTCAGATTTCTGTAGCAATCTCCTTGTTGAATGAATCCTATTTTTTAATATTTTTGAATGCTTTGTTTTTTTAAAGGACTGAAGGACATTCTTTGCCACTGTGTACCAAAGCAAGCAGTACTGTAACAAACTCTCCTGGCACATTATCAGTGAATGACAAACACTGATACAGTGAGAACTTCTGGCTGGGGCCAAACACTGCATTTGACTGATAATTCATTCCTTCACCGGGTGTATTCGTGTACATCCCACTGCATCCCGTCTGAGAAAGGTTTACCAAACATATGGGTTTCTGAGGAAGAAGAAAAAATTCTGGAACCTCTGTGAATTTCTCCACAGAGATATTCTACTCCGTAGTACAAAGTCCTGTGGCAAGCTATAAGGACGGAAGTCCTACTTTTGATTTGCCTATTTTGGAAGCAGTTTTAATACCTGGGAATTCTTCTGCAGGCTTCATATATGAGTATGATGGTTAATCTTGATGGTCAACTTGATCAGCTCAAGAGACAGCTAGGAGATTAATAAAACACACTTCTGGGTGTGTCTGGATGGGTCATGAGGGTGTGACCTTGGGGACTAGATCTGGTCCCTGGTCCCTTTCTCTCTGGCTCTTTCCTTCTCTATCTGCTTCCTGATTGTCATGAGTTAAGCAGTCTGTCTCTGCATGTCCTGTTTCTGCCTTGAAACCAACTAACCATGGACTGAAACCTCTGAAATCTCAAGCCAAAATAATCCTTGCCTTCTTTTAGTTGTGTGTACAGTATCAGATGTTTTGTCTCAGCGATAGAAAAATGATGAATACAATGACATAACTACCTGTATTCAAGGGGACACCTACGGCAGAAGCCTGTGAAACAAGCTAGTCATCAGAAAAACAAACTGGATCTTGGAGCTGCCTGTCTTCTGTGGACTTATGGAATCACAGCTATCAGTGACCAAGCACACAGCGCATGGAAACTTTTGGAAGTGAGACTCCTCTACATTATTAGCCAAGCCCATAAGGACTTCCTTTTGCTACCACGCCTGAAACTAGCCCCCCTCTGGAAAAAGAGAATGTCACTCAAAGTGAAAAATGATCACTCTGCCACCCACATTCTCACCTTGCATGAGGCCATGTCTGATGGGAAATATTCGAGGGTTCTGTAGTTATATGGAAGTGGTCCCAAAATGCTTTAGGCAACTTTAGAAACAGGTGGCTGCTCACCCATTAAATATGAAGAGATCCTTTCGCTGTGAAACCTAAACAGGTGGCTCACTGGCTCCTCCTTACATCTGACAAGAAAGCATGGTTCACGGATGAAACTTGCTTCTGAGATTAGCAAATCCCCCAGAATGCCACTGCCATTTATTGCTGCAGCCCTAATAACACCTGACATTCTGAATTCATCAGCCAAACTTCAGATGCTATTTTTGGCTGCAGAGCATGCTTAACTACTTGAAGATAGATGGAAACAAACCTTCACGTAGCACATCCGTTAGGATCCTCCAAGAAATAAATGTCAAGATAGGATTGGGCTCGTGAGAGATATACTAGTATAGCGGTGGGAAAGATTGTGAGAGATAAAATGCTGGGAGCCGGAGCAGGCAAGGAGAGCTTTCAGACCATGGCACAGGCCTGATACTTGGCAAAAGAGCCGGCAAAGGAAGGAGGATTTGGCAGTGTGAATGTCAGACTAGACTGCAGCTGCTGGAATGTTTCAATTAGAATGAGGGAGAGTCCTGAAGCCACAGCTGCCTGTTGAAGCAGTGCAGAGACCCCAGGATTGGCCTGAACTCACACCCTGTAATACTCCGTATTTGGCTGGAAATAGCGCAATGAAAGTGTAGCTTTAACAGCAGCACAATGGGCAGCGATTCGACTATGCTACCTGCCGCAGGAGACTGGAACATTCCATGGTCATCACACACACAAACTTCACTAAAGGCCTAGCTATTTTCTCAGGCCATGAGTTTTCCAATGACCGAATCAATAATGGCACAGCTATATGGGCACCTGCTTTTGAAAAGGAATTAAGAAAAAAGCTAGAGGAAAACAGTTGACTGAAAAGATCGCCCATGATACGTGGGCATCACGTCTATCTACAACAGCCCATTGAATCTATACTCTAACCCACCACAGTAATGGAACCACCCAAAGGGCCAACAATACCCAACCAAGAATTCATGTCAATACATACAGAATCTATTGCTGCTGAAAAAATTTGGCTGTCTATATGTGGGGTGATGACCTCTTCCTGTCCTCCAGGTTCTGCTGTCTTCAGCTCTTTGTAAGTCATACAGCACGGTCCTGCCCTCTGCCTTGGCCATGCAACCATACGCCCAGAAGTTGAGGCCCAGGCACATAGGCACTATCAGGAGGAAGAAGACATTCTCCTCCCGTACTCTGGTTTTGGAGTAACACACAATTGAGGAGTATATCAGAATACACTGGAGGAACAGAAACCAGGCCAAATGTTTTGGAAGAGATTTAATACAAGGAACGGTTAGACATTTCTGGATGGATCAAAAGAGCAAAGGACTATGCCATGGTCTGAATGTGTTAAAATTCATTTGTTGAAATCTTAACCCCTATGGTGACAGCATTAGGAGGGGAGGACTTTGACAGTTAATTAAGTTATTAATGGGACCCCAGAGAGCTGCCTTGCACCCTCCACCATGTGAGGACACAGCCAGAAGGCATCATCTGTGAACCAGAAAGTAGGCCCTTTCCAGACACTAGGTCTATTTCCACTCCAGAACTGTGAGAGTAATTTTTTTGTTTATAAGCCACTCAATGTATGGTATTATGTTATAGCAGCCTGAGAAAATAGAGACAGACTGCCAGAAACAGGGGTTTGGGCCATAATCTTGAATGTTGGAATCCCAAAAGATTAGAATCCCTACAGTCTAAAATCCTCAAAGATGATCCTGAAAATAAATTCTAGAAAGATAATTTTTCTAAAAAATTAAAAGTCATGCATCTATAGCTTTAAAGAGGG